CACCTGCCCTCTAATAAGATTTTAACTGTTGAAGACAGACCTGTGCTAGTTTCCAGAGCAAAGTTTTGTTCTGTTTTCCGTACTAGTTAATTGTTTAAAAACTGATGTTAAATGCAAACACTGTGCCCTGCACACCTTCAGCAGTGCTCAGAACAAATACAAACTTTTATTCATTCCAGTGATCCCAGGACTGTATTGTCAGCAAGTCTGGTGAAGCTTAGTCAGACAGGGGCCACGTACGCCTTTATTTCAGAGCAGGAGGCTTTCACTACACAATTACTTGCAAATATGTGAGCTCTCATAAAATGAGGGGAGCTATGGCTATGAGCTAGTAAATACATACCGTTTGTACCATAAGATCAAGTGCCACTGTGGAGAATATGTGTTCTTTCCTCAAACTGATCCAGTACCATTCATGTTGCTTACTGTTTCCTGTCTGAAGAAATATTTTTTTCTAATGGATGCCATGAAGATGTAGTTCAACTTGTGCAAAGGCCACAGACATAAAGAAAAATAAGTTGATATTTTATGCAGCACTTCTTTGGTGGAACCAGCTGCTTCTTGTTTTGTTTTAGATACTTTATTGAAAGTGGAGGCACTTCCACAACCAGATCAGTCTCTGGGTGACCATTAGAGGCAGCAAGTGTCTGTAAGAGCACAAGCATGACATGAGACTGAAAGTAACCAGTATCTTCTGAAATCTACCTAGACTCTCTAGAGTATTTTTCTTGTGGCAAGGAAGGGGTGTCATCCAGAACAGTCTCAAGGTATCCATTAAATATGTTTTATTTGGACTATTGCATTTCTGACTAATTTGATAAATGAGTGAAGCTCTGAGGGCTTTTCCAGATCTTCAGGATGTGTTGTCATCTCTTTGAATTTTTCAAGCAGCAGCCCACAGGAAAGTTCAGGCATGTCTTTATTCAGAATAGAATTTTGGGGGTTTTGGGATATGGCTGCACTGGAAAGCTTGAAGATGGTAGGTGGCACTCGAGCATCGGCAGCACCGGCAGCAAGGATGGGGAGAAGTGTGAGTGCCCAGATGGCGAGCCCTGCGGGGCTCCAAGCATGTGTTCTCAATTTCAACGCATGCTGCTGCCCATGTATCTGTACCACTACTGTTACCTCAGATATTGTGGATATTATATCTTTGTTTGCTACCTACTCACTGTGCTAAATTCTTCATGAGGTGGCATTACTGCCCTCGATGGCAAATGCAGTACTGGTGCTCTTCACAGCTGAGTAGGTCAGCTTTGTATTTTTCCAGCTGTAGAAACTGCTGGCACTGTAAAAGAAAATGTGTTTGATCTGGGGAGGGATGTTGTGCAAAGGTGGATGACGAACCAGAAGTCTTGACAGTATTGCTAGCTGGACCTGAGAGGAACAGATTGCAGTTCAAAAGCCATGTGGCTGTCCCTATGGAGAGGGGGATGATGAAATGCTCACCTGAGGCCAATTCAGACTAGCCTGCTGAAAACTAATTGTTTAATCTTTTGAGTTATTTTTCAGCTGAATTGGCTGGCCTGTTTCTCAGTGGAGCTGTAAGATTACAGGTAGTAAGAAAAGGGAGGATTCTCCTACTTGGCAGCAGGGCAATTTTTTGCATCGATCTAAGCAGATCAGGAAATTGCACTTTAAATTCTATGAAATTCTTAAGTTTGAGCACCATCATCCTCCAAATTGATGCCTATTGAAGGCCAAGTTGGCATTATTTTCCTCATTTGCAGGTATGATATCATAAGATCTCCTGTGGTTTCCAATTAAGAATCTGTTTTCCTTTGTGTCATTTAGCATTTTTGTAGATCTGAATGATTATTTTTTTCTTTCATCAGTTATTTTCTAATGCCTTCATACTGTAAATGTATAAATTGAAGAGTATAAGAACTGATGCCATGTATTTGGCTCACTTTTACAAGCTGCCAAAAGTACTCTGAGTGCATTGGATGTGCTTGCTCATTTCCTCTGCAAATCTCGCATGATTGTCCAGTGTAGCTGCTTAATTTTTCCATTCAAATTCTTTTTCAGAAATTATTGCACCTAAATGGGATTTTTATTTTTAGGAGCTAATAAAAGTCTTTGATAATTTCTTGCAATGGAAGTCTTGAACTTTCAGAGTCAGAAATGATCAAATGTAAATAAATGTAAGGTTGGATTTACTACTAAAGTTTCAGGTTTAGAGCTTTTTGTTTATGTATTGCATTGGTCTTAGAGATAATTACTCCTAAGGTTATTAAATAATATTAACTTTCTAATAATAGCAAAACCCGTCAACCTAGCAGAAAGTGCCCATTTCCTGGTGACAAACTGAGGTCAGATCTGGAAGTGAAAATCTGAAGACTAGAGAAAAATATCATGCATGCTGTTTAACTTGAGATGATTTCCTGGTGGATTAACATAACTTTATGAATTAATTCAGCAACATTCCTATTTGATTGTGGTTGTCACTTTGATTTCTGCTGCCAGGTAATAGTTGATAGGAACTTGGTGGTACTTGCATTGCTTTTCTGTCAACTCGTGCATGCTGGATTGGTAATGTACCGCCTCAAATTCCCAAACACTGAATTCAGACCTAACTCTGATGAGACACTTATCGAAAATTAAAACCAGAAGCTGTTCCTGAATATCATTCTGTTTCTGAATGAATGGTAAGCCAAAATCCTTCATCTTTCAGAATAAGGCTTTCTAGATGGTTGTGCGTGCAGAACTGACTGCAAAAAATTGCTCCCCAGATGCAGTTTGTCATTGGAAGTGGAGCTGATGGTTGACTTTGCTCTCAGTGACTGTGCAGTATCACACAAGCAGCCTTTAGTTGTCAGAAGAACAGTGCTATTTTGGAATGGGTGATTAAGTAAAATTTTCCCTTATTTTCTTTGCAAATTCATCTCTCATTCACTTGCACATGCCACAGTAGTTTCTTTAGCGAATGAGACATGAACAAGTGCTACATTCAGTATGTAACTCTTGTTTTGTGTGCAGCCATTTCATAGTGAGGTGGGGCCCATAGGAGGAAATAAGAAATATGACTAAGTAAAAAGCTGTAGACTTTAATACTTCAACTAACAACATCATTAGTTTTTTTGATATGGTGTTTTCTGTGGTCCTCTGGATCGTTGTGGATACTTGGTCACCCTTTATTGGCAACAGTTAAATTCATAATCTCCAAATTCATAGTGTAAAAATTAACTGGTGTCAGTAGCACCTATTATTTTTTATTCATCTGGTGATATAAGAGAATTCATTTGCTAAGGCAGAAAATGAATTATGCTTAAGTATCTGGACTCTGTAGGTAGCCATCTGCCAAAATGGTTCCATACTAAAAGAAGCAGTTCAACTTTCGATTTGGAAAGGAACACTCATCCAAAACCACCCTTAGGGCTTTTTTTTTTTTTTTTTTTTTGAGGTGGGGGAGATAAAAGGAACAAATGTTTTCATCTTAGAGGATAGTATCCTTACTCGGTAGGGAGGCTTGCAAGGAATGTAGACTTCACAGTCAGTAGTCCAAAGAAAGTAGATTTGAGCTTCTTATCTGACTCGCAGCCAAGAGAACATGGCCCAACGCTTAATCTGTTACAGGACACATTAAAATGACCAGGAAATTTGCTGTTGTCCTACTGGAGATGCAGTTCTCTGTCATAAGAGAGAGTCCTGGAAACATGTCCAAGTTGCTTGGGAAGATGACAAAAAATGAAGAACTGGAGCTCAGGAGGTTCTCCTGTATATGTATATATGGCAAACTTTTCCATGAAGTTATTAGGTCACCAAGTTTGGACAGATTTCGTGGGGTAGACAGCCCATGTAGAAGTATCAGCACTAGCACAGAGGTACTGCTTACATCTTTATGCAGTAGTTCAGTATCCTGAAAGCTTGAAGGGAAACTGAGCAGATCCAGGAACATCGTGGTGTAGATTGTGTGCCATAACAGTCATTATGTTAAAAATCAGAGATCTTCCTATCCTTGCAACCCTTCTTCCTCTCATTCCGTCATCACATACTCTTGTCCATTTCCTTGCTTCTGTTCTCATAGTCATTGAATCTTCCATGAACTAATTTAATTTACTAGTTCAGAAAAAGCAACTGATAAGGTATTGTGTCCTGCTCAACTATTGAGTTTGGGGTAGCTCACAAGAGAGCCTGGTGGGCACCAGAGCTGGCATGTAGGACTAACTGGTATCATACTAATTGGAGTGGAGGAAGCAGGACTGGAAGCCTGGAGGTGAGCCTTTGGATGCTCAGCTGCTCATACACTACCTTCTTGACTGTAGTTACTTCACCCTACGCAGTCCAGCAGCAGAATTGATTTGCCCTGAGGGCAAGGCTGGGGTATTTCACCTGTGGCGTGTGGCTTACTTAGCCCAGTTAGAGACCAGTAAAGGTCTGGCATGTAACCACTCTTGTCTGTGACTCACCCATAACGTCACTCTTCACTGACCTGCCAACTCCTGTGCATAGCTATGGAAGCTGTAGCACAGCCGTCTATAACAGAGTTTTCAGTTTTCATCTGCTTACCTCTTGATTTTTTTCATTTACTTAATCCTGAAGGCAATAGATCTCAGCGCTAGGCCGGTGTGTAAAATTGGTTGCCTGGAGGAGTTGACTTGAAGCTGGAGTATTTTATGCCTATTGAGGGACATGATGGAGAAATTTTAAAGCTATAAAGAAAATAGTTTTTTGCACTTGCAATTTAAAGTATCTAGTATTTCAGCAGTAGGTACTCTTAGTAATTTTTTTGGTGAGAAATTTACTTGCCTCATGCTTAGAATTTATGTGCCTGAATAAACTGAAATAGGTTTAAAATTAAAGCATGGTTTGAATTGGAGTCTCAAATCACAATGTTGTTTGAAGTACAGATTTAAAATATGGACATATTCTGAATGCAAAATGGACAGAAAACCTCTGAACAGACAAACTGTAGTTGAATGAACATCTTCTTACCTTTTAAAATTGCTCTAATTAGGAGAGTGTTTTACCTTATGGACTGTTGAAATTTCTTGCAGGTGGATTCACCGATGAACTTGAGGAACCCACATGATTTGGTAATACTAATGAGACAAGAAACAACAGTTAACTACCTCAAAGAACTGGAGGTAAAGCATAACTGAGTACTAACCAGTTTCTGAAAATACAGAATTTTTTTACAAGCGTTTTAGTGATAGATTTAGATGGGGAACGGAAGCCATTGTTGGCATAATTGTGCTTCAGTGATAGGATGAGGAATTCTTCAGATCTCAAGAATTTTGTGCCTCAAGTTTGCTCAACTGGTTTGTCCCCAGCTGCATTATTCCCTGATGTTGTCCATAAATCCTAACATTTTTTAAGTAAAGTCATTTAGGTACTGGATTCTGTAGCTGACTGCTATATTCCAGAACTATTTGTAGAAGTGCTGTCTCAGATTCATTATAGCTGCTATTTAGAGTACAACCTGTAGGCCATGAATTTCCCTGTGCTCCTTTCTGGGTTTGTTGGCCCGCTCTTTCCATTGCTCTTTCTAGAACACATCGGAAAGCAGGTCACCTCTGTTTTTCTTCAAACCCATTGAAAAAGGGACTGAAAACACCCTTCTGAAAAGGGTTTTAAGGATAAACTAAAGTTTAAATATGATACTGAGCAAACTAACAGCTCGCAGCCTTTCTTCTGGCCACGCACTTTGTCTTGTGCCAGCTTTAGTTTTGTCAGATTAGCATAACTAGCTAACTGGGAAGTTAGATGAGCACTAAAGGTAGCTCTTGGTGAGTGGGAGAAGTAGAAGGGAGGGGAAAAAAAAAACAGGACTGCCCCTTACGTAACTGTATTCAACTAGTCTTTCTCATTGAGGTGTGCTTGTATTGTGGTAATGGACATTTTAGCTATGGATGGAGCAACGGCTGTAAGCTTTTCAGGACACGAATTGTGAATTTGGAACTAATGTATAATTTGTGACACAGAAATGGCTTTCAGCAGAAGTTATCTATTGTAAGATCTTGTACAAGTTGCTACTACTGTATATATCTCTAGTATTGCATAGTAGTGTGTTATCAAATGTGTGTGACTAATTAAAAATGCAAATTTTCTTCTCACTTCACATATATAAATCCTTACGATATTTAATAGGTTTTCAATTTGTAGATCTAGGTGAGAATTAAATACAGCTTACTGTGCTGGGATAGATCGTTAGTCCATGGACTGCTCATAGCAATCAATACCTATGAGCTTTATAGGGTGAAATGTAGCTTTTAAGGCACATCATAAGTTGATCTATAGAAATTATTCTCAGTCTCCATTCTTGCATTAGCCTGCCATCTCAGTTGCACTTAGCATGGTGAATGCTTAAGATGATCATTTTGTTTGCAATCTCTGATACTATATCCATGAGATCTTACAATGGAGGTGAAGGGTCCAAATATGGAAAATTTGACATACTGTTAACAAGTATTTCTTTTTTCTGAATGGCCTACTGTGAATTTGGAATGCTATTGGCCCTCTTTTTAGATACAGCAGGAGAAATAAGGGCCTGTTCAAGTCATATTACCTCTAATGAAAGTATATTCCATCTAAATCAAAAAATGTCTTACAGATGTTATAAAATATAGGGAAATACTCCCAAAATTTGCAGAGAGTGTTTTAGATTTTCTTCATAATGGACTTTGTTGTAAGGAAAAAGTTGGACTGTTCACCTCCTAGCAACTATAGAGTTTACTTTCATCAATATACATTCTTCTGTTTCCTTTTTTTTTTTTTTCCTACAGAAACAGTTAGTTGCTCAAAAGATTCATATAGAGGAAAATGAGGACAGAGACACAGGGCTGGAACAAAGGCATAATAAAGAGGATCCGGACTGCATTAAAGCAAAGGTGCCCTTGGGGGACCTAGATCTATACGATGGCACATACATCACCTTAGAGAGCAAAGATATCCGGTAATTAGATGCTTTATATTTTAAGATTTCTATTTCTGAATGAAAAAAATCAACAAAAACTCTAAATGCAATTAAAAAGAAAAATACTATCACTGACTGTTCTTTATATGACAGTTGTTTTATTTTGTGTTAGTGTGAAAGAAAATTGAAAAAACCTCTGCCACTAATTAGAAAAGAAATGCTGCCTCCCCCAAGCTGTCCATGTTAGCCCTACCCTGAAACTTCCCCATTCTGTTCCCACGCTCCCAGTCAGTTCTGTACTGATATGACCAGACATGTGAATTAAACTGTAGCGCGTCATGTAGAAGGGGGTTGAATTTGCTTGAGGGTGCTCTGGGTGTTTCGAGCTAGATATACTTCTTGTAGTGGGAACTGTCTTGACTTAAATTTGAATGAAATTCTGTTGATTAGCAAGCTGTTGAACCTTCTGGTCATAGAGATATTGCTGTGTTTAGCAAATAAAGGATGTGTGGACAGTCTGCTTGACATTCAGCTTCATTGGTAATTTGTCTTTAGGGCTGACTGTTTTGTTTTTCTAGTTTTATTTTTTAACATAATCAGATGAGTACTTGAAGTGGGAAAAGATTAATTTTATCCTCAGATACGTTCATTTGGGTTTCTCGCTAATACTTGGGATTTGTTTGTTTGTTTCAGTTGAAGAGTCTTCTAATCTGCATGCATTGCCATTTACTTGGCAGACAGATCATTAACCATAGCAGTGATACACTAGGCTGATGCTGATACATTTTTGGAGGCTATCCATATGTTGATGTTTTCTCTAAAGCAGACAGAAATTTATTTACTTTGTCCTACAATGATGACATCCTGATGCAACTGAAATCTGGGAAGACATCAGAAATGTTCTAGAGTGCTCAAACACAGGATTTTAGTAATGGTCAAATCAGAATATTGTGTCAACTACAATACTGTCTCTTACAAACTTTAGCAGTATTTTAATCTGGAGTCTGCTGTGTCATGTTATGTCCTCAGCCCTGAAGATTATATAGACACAAAGTCGCCAGTGCCTCCAGACCTGCAGCAGCCAGACTGTACAAAAGTTCTAGATCTTCCATACAGCATTCATGCTTTTCAGCACTTACGGGTAAGCAAGCAAATGCAAGTATGGTTTTTTTTTCCCCCATCGGGAAGAGGAATAGAAAACTCTTACTGGCAGTTCTCAGTCAAGGTTGAAAGGTATTGTAATCTTTCAAGACTATTTCAGACTTTTTTTGAACTACAATTGTGCCCTGATTAAAGTATCTGCTTATAGGAGGACAGTTCCATCAGTTACACAGATCCTGTTTCTCTTTTGTCAGTCTGCCTTATTTTAGAGAGCAGTTTTAGGAAAATGGAGTATTTTGTTTTCATAACACGTGTTTCATTAGCAAAATGGTAGTTTTCATTGAAAATGCTTTTAACTTGTGAATTGTTTCAGTTGAAAATTGGAGAGTGGTCAACAGGGTCATTAAACTGTATGAAGATTCAGGGTCAGAAAATTGTTAGCAGGGTTGTTGGTAGCTCCTGACATACTCGACTATCTCTTTGGTATCTGAATGTCAAGCCTTAACCCAGAGGACGAGATAATTGTTCTTTACTAACTTTACAAGGGTTACAGTGGAAGCGTGCTGCAAAAATTGTTTTTGTTAACAGTATATATAATACTGTTTATATGTAAATTTTCTAATGCAGATGCAACTTTAGTGCTTATATCTTGATACTTATTTTATTGCAAGTCTTCAAAATCACTTTTCATCTACAAATAAGGATTTTCTTAGGAACAAAGCAAGAACTGAAGTTTCCTAACTCTGTTCCTGGGTCTTTTGAAATGAGTACGTTTGTTGTTGCAGAAGGAAGAAAGAGAAGAAGAGATGTAGGGATACTTTCATCATGTGCATGTAATCTGACAAACATAAGTGCTTCGGTAGTCATTAGTGAAATCAATAGCTACCAGATATACAGTGCTACCAGAAATGAACATTTCTCCTATAGCATTCACAAGCAGAGGCTGCTTTTGGCTGCTTCTAGTGTTTGTCTATCTATAATAATATATATTATTCATCTGTCAAAGGTGACATTGTCCTGTCAGGTCCCTAAAATCTTGATATGAAAAGACATAGGAATGTAAAATAACCAAGCTGTAAATTTTCCTGGGAGTCATGCTCTTGTGTGTATTTCTCTACTTTTAGTTAGTGTCAGCAAATATCTATATTCAATTTTTATTTTAGGGTGTCCAAGAAAGAGTTAATCTTTCCGCACCCTTGTTACCTAAAGAAGATCCAATCTTCACATACTTATCACGGAGGCTGGGAAGAAGTATAGAGGAAATAGGTCATCGTATTTATGATGGGCTGATGAAGGTATGAAACTAATGAAGGTAATCTTACTGTACACACATGGAGTTCTAGAAGGGTCTCACAAGAGTAGATATGCCTGGTACATGCAATCAGATCCAGTACTAGTTTTGCACATATGTTTTTGGTTTATGTTTTGGTTACAAAAGGCAGACTAAAAACATTTTCTGCCAGGCAAGCAGAGGTAGGAGAAGGCATCAGCAAAGCCAGTAAATAGGTATTTACTATCATCTTTAATGGCTCATGTATTTGTGTGGTCTGGCAAGCCATGTTGATTGCTCTGTCAAGGTAATAAGAGCTTTTAAACAAAAATGCAGGTAAAGAAGAAACAGTAGGACTGAAATGTGTATGTCTTTATTAAATGCCTTCCTGCAAAATACAGGAACTCTCATTGAACTCCGGCTGATGCTTAAACTACTGTCACAACTTACTGAGTCTCGCTTTGAATTTTTACCTGTCTGAAAGGCAGAAGTTCTGTTTCTTTAATACATTTACATGCTAGTTCATTCTTCCGGAACATTTACATCTATTGCCAAATGGCAGCTATCCAGAGGAAGAAGATAACTTGGAGCAGGTTTGGTGCTCAGCTTTCTATCCCATAGTAATTAAATCCCTGATTAACCTTTTAGTTCACGTTTTAGTAGTTAGTACAGTTCATGTGTTTCTCTTTACTGCAGAACTCGTCTTCCTGGGTACTCTATAACATGGCTTCCTTTTACTGGCGAATAAAGAATGAGCCATACCAAGTAGTAGAATGTGCCATGCGTGCCCTTCATTTTTCTTCAAGGTGAGAATTGCTAATAAAGATTTCCTTTCAGATTGCTTTTCTAGTTATCCTAATTAATAAACAGGTTTTAGTTTTTAAGACTGTATCCTAAGGAATAATCCGTGTTACTTGTTCTTAGTCTTCATGTTATATACTAAACATACATATAATTTAGACATTTTCCTGTCAAATTACATATTTAATATATGTGACTGAAGAATGAATGTATCCTTATGCATGATTCTTACACAGTCTGACCTTCTTTTAATGTCTGTTTTTGTTTTCTCATTTTCTTTTCTTCTTTTAGGCAAAATAAAGATATTGCACTGGTAAATTTGGCAAATATTCTGCATCGAGCTCACTTCTCTGCAGATGCAGCTATTGTGGTCCATGCAGCTCTGGATTACAGTGACTTCTTTACCAGCTATTACACTTTGGGAAATATATACGCAGTAAATACTATCTTTATTTTCCAAGATTTGTAGAAAACCGAGTATTATTTCATCTTTCTGGCTTGACTTGCAATGCTTTACTTTTTTACAATAAATCTTATGTTCCACATGTATTTCACACTTAATGCTTAAGATTCTGTCAAGATGTTTTCATCCAAAAGTCTGTGTTTCAGCAAAGATTTTTATCTGCACTTGAAAATAAATCCCAGAGAAATCCTTCTGCAGCCTCTTTTTAGCACAGTGAGTTGAGTTTCAGAAACAACAGGCTGCTTGTTACCACGAATTAAAATTTGAGTTAATGACTTCTTAAAAAATGGAATATTATTTTATTCAATATTACCAAACAATGGCTAATTCTCTCTCTCGGTCTTTCTTCAGATGCTTGGAGAGTACAACCACTCAGTCCTGTGTTATGATCATGCTCTACAGGCAAAACCAGGGTTTGAGCAAGCCGTAAAAAGGAAGCATGCTGTCCTATGTCAGCAAAAACTTGAGCAAAAATTGGAAGCCCAGCATAGGTAACTAAAAAAAGCATCCTAGTGGCAATTCATACAATGTGGCTTTTATTGTTCTGTTGCAGAAATTATTTACATTTCAAATAGAATAATGGTTTTGAAATTTCTATATTTCTTTGACTATGCAATGACTTATTCATAAGGATATTTTAAGAAACCCGAAGTTGAAACTGTGCAACACTGTAGGAAAAGCGGATATTTTAAAAAGCATTTAAAGTAAATCTTTTCTACTGTTGAATTTTCAAGATCACTTCAGCGAACATTAAATGAATTGAAGGAATATCAGAAGCAGCATGACCATTACCTTAGGCAACAAGATGTGTTAGACAAGTACAAGCTCATCCAGGAGGAACAAATCTTGAGGAACATCATTCATGAGACACAGATGGCAAAAGAAGCTCAATTAGGTACAACTTTTTAGAATTCATGCTCATTATAGAAATGAAGAATTGCACATATTCAGGTTAATGTCAGATGGCCCTGAGTGGCTGTTGTGTTTTCCTTATTAGAACAAGGAATTGCAATATGTTCTTGAACAGGTGTTTTTCCAGTCTTTGAAAGACGGAGTTTCCTCTGTGCTGATTACATAAATAAAAAGGATTGACCAGATTGGGGGCAGAGGGGCTGACTGTACGCTGTCTTTGTCGCCTCAGAAACCTCACTTATATAGTAGAAAAAATATTTTGTGCTCTGCAGGGAACCATCAGATTTGTAGACTGGGCAACCAGCAGCATAGCTTGCACTGCCAGTGGGACCAGCCTGTTCGTTATCACCGTGGAGACATTTTTGAAAATGTGGAATATGTTCAGGTTTGTCTCTGAATTGATACCACTGCTTTAAGTTGCATCCCATTTGCCTTATTAGCAAAATAGTTCCTTTTTTTTTTGAGGCTTGACAAAGGGGGTATGTTTTGGATGTGGTAATTATAGTGAGGAATCACTTTACACTCTGGAAAAGAGATTAAATATTTAATACTAGTTTCTTTTGCTAGTAATAGAAGCTGAGATCGGTTGTGGATTATAGAAATTTAGAGGGTTTATTGTATAAGGCTTTGTTTTACTTAGAAAAGAGAACTATCAGAATTACTTGAATTGAAAAACTTAATTTTATTCCAAAGTCTTAGTTTCCTATGAGATACCACCCACTTCTATATTGACTTTTTCAATCTGCATAGAACAGTTGAGTATTTCTTTCTAGGAAGAACAAGAATCCTCACTTGAGGAATTACAGCTTTCACTTAAGTAAATATACTACATTTCAGGCATGCTAGTAGGAGCATAACATGTTTAATTTTCCAATTTAGTTTTCTTCAAAGAGGACAGGAAAAACTATTAGGCAGCTAATTTTAATGAAGAGGCAGAGGTTTTCTAAGGAGTTAGTTTTCTAATGTACATATGGTACATGGAATAAGAATTATTCTTTATTGGAAAGAATCTTCCAATATAACAACTTAAAAGTTTGTTTAAAATAATATTTTATCAATCATTTATCTCTACAGCCTTAAAATGGATCATAGAATCATAGAATGGTTTGGGTTGGAAGTGACCTAAAGATCATCTAGTTCCAACCCCCTTGCCATGGGCAGGGAAGTGCTCCGGTAGACCAGGTTGCTCAAAGCCCCATCCAATTTCTTTTGCTTATTACACTGTTGTATGACTCAAGCTACTCAATTTTTGCATGCTCCTTGCAATTTAATCTTTTTTCCTGCCAGAAGGAGCACAAAACTGCCATAAGCCATTAACAAATGGAAGAGCTCAATGGTGTCGAATCTAGTGAGCGCTTTTACAGCCCAAAAATAAGGTGCTAGCCCAGTTTTGTGAGTATTTGCTGATTGTATGTCTTGAATTAGTGCACCAAGGAAATCTGATACAGCAGTATTGAGAAGTTTTGGAAGCAGAGTGTATACTAATACTGAAAACCTGGAACGAAAGCCATCCAAGCAACACCATCCTTGTGTTAGAACTACAGATAAAGATTATGGTTTCATATATTTTGCAATGTGGAATGTGTTCTGGATTTTCCTATCAACTAGTTTAAGAAACAGGAATAATTATTTTTAGTTATGCTATGTTTTCTTCTTGGATGTTCTTCCTGTTATAGTAATTATAAATCCAGATTATCAAGATAATTTTGCAAGCTGTAAGTCTTAGTAACTGACTTGAACTAGAGCTATGCAGTCTAGATACGTAGATTTTGTTTGTGGTCTATTAGAAATGTTTGCTTGGTACCTTTTCGCATTTTTTTTGGTGATTTGCACTGATGTTTTCATTGTTGACTTATTTACGACATGAATATTACTTTTCCATGGTGTGAGTGGATCAAGAGGCTTAAATTTCCTTTTTTTTTTTTTTTTTTCCTGCTACCTGCATCTCAGCTCATCAGTGAGGCTTAACTACATAAATGGTGGGGGGAAAAATAACATGCAGTAATTCAGCTAGTAATGTACTATCTCTTTTCCTTATTAAATTTTTTTTTCTGTTGTTTCTAGTTTGGTGAAGACTCTTCAACTTCTGGTATGACATCTGTGAATTTGGATCTTCATGCAAACCAAAGCGACCACAGCCAATCCTTGCAGTCTTCCCCTGTTGCTCGTTCTATCGTCTCGGTGTGGAGCGTAGAACCCAACAGAGTGAGTGAAGAGGATAAACTTTGCCCTTTCAGAGAGGAGTTGTGAAAGAGTGAATCTTGTCCTTGTCTGTGTGAAACTTCTTAGCATTTGGGCGACAGTTTTAATCTGTGGCAGCACTGGAGAATGTATCATTCTGAATTTCTTCAACATATAAGCATCTCTGTAGTTTCTCTGTACCAGTTTCCCATCATTTGAAACTCTACTGCAGCACAGAGGGGGATGTTCTTAGCTACGTTTGCAAACATCTGCAAATAAAGCAGTGCAGCTGAGTTAAGATAGAAAACTGAACTGCTGCTATTCCAGACAAGATGCAAAAACAATATTTCTAAAGATACCTGCTTTTTTTTTTTCCTCCAGACTATTCCTTATGTTCTTTGTTAATTAGAATATTAAAAATGTTGAGAAAATAATAAAAAATAATTCCTTTCCTCCTTAGGACAAACAGCATATTCTTTGGCCTCAGCGATCGGAGTGCATGAAATCTTTCCCCAAAATTCCTGATCCAGAACAACTGCCAACTTATTTTCTGCCTCCAGAAAACAGGGGATTCAGGCAAGTGTTGATTTTTTTAAAATTATATTTGTAAACTTTCACACTAACGTCTTAATGAGCATTTTCTTTTTGGAATGGTTGGATGCAATTAGTAATCAACAGCAGAGATGGGTTCGGACCTCTTTCTCTGGCAATTCCATAGAAGGAGGGTGTTTCCCTTTGTCATCTTTGCTGTATTTGTAACAGTCATATCCAATTCAATGGTGATTCTCCCCTGACTGTTAGTAGAAGGTAAATATCTTCAGTATTACTAAAAGAATGAAGATTTAAGCACAAGTCTGAATGTCTTCTAGAATATATGTTAAAAAAAGTCCTTGAGAGAGAGAATGTGGTGAGTATCTGTTTAATAACAACAGCTAACTGTTGTACACTGCATACATACTCTTAGCTGTAGTTATGATAACAGAAAATTGCAAAGACCAGAAAATACTAAAAAAGGATTAGGAGTGGAAAGCCCTGGCTTGTGAAGTAGAAAACAAGCTTAGTTGTAGAATAGTCAGTAATACTTGTTATTACATAGGATAAAATAAATGTGTCTATGCTGCAATAGCTGACTTACATAGATCAGTGTAATTTTGTAATATCCTACTCACTTAACATTATAAGCTTTATTCTCCTAGCTGGTATAATTCTAGTATTGAGCATGTGTTAAAGCAAAGATTCCCATGCACACGTGTCCTGAAGCTTCCTTTGAAAAAAAAATAATGTTGAACTTAGAATGTTCTTCCCAAATAATTTAGCTAACTCTTGATGTTTTTGAAATCAAACTTTAGTGTAAAAAAGCTTCAGCATTTTCTTTTTTACTGATCTATTTAGTCCTAAACTTCATGCAATCCTTACTAGCATAATAGGAGAACCGTCTCTGTCTTACCTCTACTGCGTTGTCCATAATTTACGGGTATTCTGTGCTTAAAAATGGAAAGTAAAGACCTTATTTATTGATGATTTTTCAAGGAAACGGTGGTCCTTGAACTCTCCTGGTGTGCAGCTCATGTCTCATGGCAGTCGGCAGTAGGAGACTTGTCAGTTGATATGTAGCTGGTTCTTATGTTTATATATCAGTGACATGCAGCAAATGCTATTAATTTGTCTTGGTTCTCCTTATTGCTAGAGTCCAGCCAATCCTGAGTATCCCAAGAGATGCTGTCGGGCATGGAGAAACCCAGGCCCCAGACTGTTCTTCCATTACTGATGCTCGTAACAACGAATCTCTAAATATACTGGTCAAGGAACTAGACAGTAATCTAGATTTGAAATTCAAGATGCCAGATGATCAAGCAAGACAAGTAAGGGATATTTTCTCGTTGGTTCTTTTCTGGTTTAAAGTTCTCCTCTTTATTGCCTTAACAATCTTACTCAGAATGTGAAAGGTTCTGAGTATTTAAAAGGTTCTGATATTTAAAAGATGACTTGTTATCACAAGCCAATCAGTACTTCCATAAAAGGGGAGCAATTGCTTTATAATAGGGCTGGAGAAGGGGAGAGCTTGTCACTCAGCATAAGACTTGTTGTCTGACTTCTTTCAAATGCTGACCGAAAGCACACAAAATAGGAAATTTAATTTAGTATTTAAAATTACTGCTTTCTTTTAAAACTTCTGACAGTCACTCAACACGATTCATCATTTTGGGGTTTCCAAAAACTACTGTATACTACCAAGTCAGTAACTTTAGCCTGAGAGTAGTCTGTCATTGCTTTCTGGAGCAATCTCCAGAAAGAGATGCTTTAATCATTACATGTTCATATAATCTGTTTAGAACAATTTAATTTTTTTCCCCTTTACTAAAGGGAAGACTCTAGGTAAGTGTGACTTGAAGCACCCATGTAGATATATACTGTAAAATTTCTTCAGTTGTTTAAAAACAAATTAAAATCTTTGTTGTCCAGGTCTTGTATTCTCGTATCAACAATCAAATTATTACACAGGCGAAGATAGGAGCATTTCTAGATCATGCCATGAAAAAGGTATGTCAAAAGCTGTAGCATGAGATAAATTCAGAATTCTTTGACACTTGGTTCTATACTGCTGAAGAAGTCCGTCGGTGATGTGCAAGAAATAAGCTTATTTGCTGCCTATAACTGAGGTGAAACTAACTTAAAAATCCACATTTACACGTAAAGCACAAAGGTATAGAGAAGTGTCCATTTAATTAAGCTTGGTGGGGACCGAACAGCCCTGTAGTTATTTGTTCTTGTTCTGGCTGCAGGACATGGATTAGCTGATACATTGCTGGTCCTGGCAGCCATTTGCTTAACAGAGAAAAATAGCTTGGAACTACTGCTCCATCTTTCACCCCTGTACTACATGCCTGCCTCCTGCTTTTCCTCCTCCTCCTCCCCACTACCCTGCCTTCACCCCCACCCTCCCTCCAAAGAAACCAACCCTCTGTCAATCATCTGTCAGAATTAATTAGCACTCTGGGGCAAAGAATGTACGTCTGTATAACACCCTGTGGAATGCCACCTCCATCTTGCGTGGGGCCTTTTAGAATCATCACAAGTCAAATGACAGGAAGCATTGAGATAGAGGTTGACTTTTTCACCTGTCAAGCTGATATTTCTCAAATTAACTTTCTCGTACAAGTTGTGTCAAGGCAGTGTATGTATGTATTGTTTTTAGTCTGAAATGAGTACCATTTACTATGTGATCTGTCTTAGAAGAAAAATTAGCAGTAGAAGTTGATTCCTTTTGTTATGCTGGTCAGAACAGTCCTATGCATGTCTAACTTCTTACTGTTGCAGGTCATAGATATTTTGTTTCTAACTGTAGTATTCTGTTCCCTTCATGCTGAAGGTCTGAACTCAGTCATTTAGATGCTGATACAAGAACACTGTTGTCATACCTGTTCTGCTAATGATAAACTTTCTAGAGCAGGAGTGCCACAGTTGGTATTTTTGTATTGGGAAAGACAAAGTACTAATAACTTGCTGAGGATTTAGTTAAAGGTCATTGAGACCTGTGTATTGGAGTGTAATTCAGTGAGGAGTTTGGCATGAAAAATGTGCATGTAATGGTATGGTTGTGCATTGCAAAATAGGGGTGATAAATACTCTTACAATTTATAGATTACATAAGGTACTCTGAACAAAGAGGTAATATATCCTATTGATATCTTCCAGTCCATCTTAAACCACAGGTAGAACCCTCCTGTATGAGATTTTTCTTCCAGATTTTAAAAACATCTTTGTACTGATTAAGTTTTTCAACACAGTATTACTGTAATGTCAGCTGCATTGCGTTAATACAGTACTACTGTAAAGATCTTTACCTCTTTCACTACCTTAATCCTAGCTGCATGTTTCCTACTCATGCGTGCATTTGGGCTTCAGATGTGTAGCTTGGATTGGGCATCAATTTCAGTTGTTGTTTTCATACTTTAAACTCTTTGTAGAATTGGGTAACATGGAATGCTGAAAATATTAAAAACTAGAATGTAAGTGTCTCTAAACCATTTCAAACGGCTCCATCTGAAAGTGGATGTTTTACATAGCTCTGTCCACCTGTCAGTATTTTAAAGTTTTGTTATTTCTACTCTAGGATGAGTGTTTGTTTTTTCTGTTATAGGTGAAAGAGGAGGGAGGAATGTTCAAGGTGTATTTGACACTTCCTCCGTTCTTCCACCTGCGTTCACTTGTTGCTTGCCATTTTATAATCTTTAAACAGTATCTGATGTGTGTTACCAACTTTCATAAAACAGATAACTAAATCCAAGAAAAAAAACAATTCTGAAACCTTAAATTGACAGGAAATCTTGATGTTGGCTATAGGACCTGGAAGCACATCTAACTACAATTTAAAAGCTGCCTGACCTTCAATTGTAACATTTCTACATAGATCTGTATTAGTGTAATTTTAAGACTCTGAAGTGGCTCAGAAATGTTTCATGAAGCAAGCTAAGCATTATCACTTGTATATTTTAAGGGATTTTGTCGTTGTGATATAGGGCAGTCATATGAGTAGAGTGTGAGCAGCAGCTGCTACTGAATTACAGTTCAGACTGTAAATTGGGTCAATTTGAGTAAGGTAGAGCAGATTGAATAATCTGCTAGCAGTCACAGCAAAGTGTAATTTGTGTCTAGTTAATAAGGTAGTCTGCAAGGGTGAGTTTTGTTTGTTTCTTATGAAAGAGCAGGTAATTCTGTCTTCCTGAGACACCTCTTTGTGGGTGTTTTCATCCTTTTCCCTGTCTCTCCTACAGCCAGAAGATCCTCTATGGCTTGTGCTTAATGAAGCTGGATTGTACTGGCGTGCAGTTGGAAATGGCACCTTTGCTATCACCTGTTTGCAAAAAGCATTTAATTTGGCTCCACATGAGTATCAGGACATCCCTCTAGTCAATCTTGCTAACCTCTTGATTCATTATGGTTTTCATTTGGATGCCAGCAGGCTCCTGCTGC